GAGTTCTAGACCCTGTGCCAAGTGTTAGTAGAATCGGATTGTGGTCCGACGATCCTTCCACCAGGGTCTCTGTCTCGAACTCCTCTCTGATGTTGCGGACGATGGCTATGTCCAGTACCGCAGGTCGCCCAAGGCCGAATGGAATGTAGGTTGGTTGCTCCGGACCGACGATGACCCCCGCCAGGGCATCGACGTGTTCCTGGAGCTGCCTTGCATTCCTGTCTTCGACGTTGTTGTTCCATGCCGGAGACTTGCAGTTTAGATCTCCGATGACTATGCGTGCTCCTGGGCCTCTCAGGAGGTCAGCGATGTCATCTTCGTCTAGGGCCTCCCCTGGTGGCACATATAGGGAGGTGATTCTGTAGGGACGGTGGTTGTGATGGACGTGGACCGTGATTCCGTCCCCATTGGTATCTGCGGCATCGTCGAGGACATGACTCGTCAAGGTACGTTTGACGAGTAATGCGACTCCTCCACCTCTGCCCCTTCTGTCGTAGCGGTACGTCTCGTACCGCGGGAACGTCAGACTATGGGCAGCATCCAATTTCGTTTCTTGGATGGCCATCACCTCTGGTTGGTACTGGTCTAGTATCTCCTGGATTTCTGGTTTCCGTGCCCTGAATCCGTTGATGTTCCAGGAGAACGAGCGATACCTGCCGATCATCCCTTTTATACCCCACAGGTACGCTGCTGGCTCAAACGGCTCTTAATGAGGCCATATCCCGTTGCATTGAGTTTGGGCTAGTAGCCGTCAGGGGGCGCTATGTCACTCTATAAGAAAATGCATTTCGTAGTTCCTGATTTTCTTAGCTGTTTTTCCACGTAGAAGCTTCAAAGTTTGAAGTTGGTTATAAATAATAGTTTTCTTGTTCGGAAACTACTAGATTCCACAAAAAAAGTTACGGCTTATGAGATATAATTTATTGACAAAGAAATGACTATCAAATAAGTGTTTCCCGAACTTGACAATTTTCATCTGATTATTGAAAACTGCTTCAAAATCAGTTAACAATGAAGTGAGATATCCTGGAACCACGTTTGCGGTAAGGTAGAAAGTGCTCTTAAGTCATCATTTACAAAAGCATCGCAGAACACTACAGTGGTACGTACTACTAATATCCAAATATTGCTAAAATATATAAATATTGTCCTGTAGCGGTGTGTCAGTATCGAGAGCACCGCAGACCTGTTGGAGTTTGTTACACTTTTGCACAATCGGCAGTAGCCTCCACGATAACGCAGCATCGCGCCGTGCACGCATCGCCAACGATTGCAAAATTATTTCAAATTATAATCACATTGTACATCGGACTTCTATCATTTAATTTTCCCGTTGTAACCGGAATCAGAAGCTTCTTAATGATAGAACGTCCTTCACTAATACTAAAGACGTTATATTTACAACCCCCTACTTCCTACAACCCCCAACTCCCAATTTTAAACACCTATGAAAATTTTCTGACAATGTTCATGAGGCTTGGAAACGTCAAAAAACGAAATTTATACGCTTTTTAGTTTTTTCATGTTTTTGTTCTTTACTACGCCACTACACCCATTTTTAAAAACGACTACTTTTTCATCTTTAGCATAGTAGTAACCTTGTGTGAAACTTGAAGTACTTCTCAAGTTATAGGTGGCTATAAAATTAGGAGACAAACCGACAGACAGACAGACCGACGGGAATGAGTTTTTCGTGATTTACATGTCATAAAATATCCAAAGAGCATAATAACTAAATTTCGTAGTTTTGGCGTAGGAAGTAAAATCTGCGGTCGCAAAAATGTTCCACTCTTCCAAACCGAGCGAACATAGCCGGGTTTCTCAGTTAGGGACCCGGCGGGATTTTAAGCATGCACAATTGCTGGGTCCCCTACCCTTTCCTTATAGTCAACACTCGGCGGTTTGTCAAGAATCCTTTCGCTATAAAACTACTCGCAATACTAATTTTCAAAATATATTAAATTTAATGTTTGCATATATTTTCTATACTAAAAATTACAATTTATTGAACCTATAAACTCCATCCTGATATCTAACACCCTCAGAGTGAGGCTTGTTAGTTGTATTACATCTGAAATACCTTTTTATTGGAGTATTTAATACGATCTCGTTAAATGATTTCCTGTCTTCGAATTTCAATTTCATCAATATATCTATAATAAAAGCAATGTTGACCAGTTAATAAAATGGCAATTTTCTTTAAACTCAGTGATGCTGGAAATTGTTTAGCGCTGCATTCTACATAGAAAACAGAGGTATATCCTCGTGTACTATTGCCCCTCTTTTTGTCAATCATTCCTTAAATTTTAAATTGGATTATTTTCTTTAGAGATATCAATAAGTTTTCTTGTAATCAAAAACATTTAACGTGTTCAGAGGGACAAGCGATTATATGAGGATATTTGCATTGCTTTGAATATATCAGATGTATCATATTTTCTTATGTACTTCTATTGATATATAGGGTGTTCCTTAATGGTATGCGAATATATAAGGGTGTGAATCTATATGAAAAATTAATGTTAGTTTGCTTTATAAACTATGGTCCAAAAATGTTTCCTTACAAAAACTCGGGGTGTTGAAGTTTTAGGAAAAAAATGGAAATTAATTAATATTTTCAGAACCGCTTCAGATATTTCACTGATATTTAGTACGTAGTGGAAGCTAATGAAGTTGCATATTTTTCAATGCAAAAATAATTTTTGGCTTTAACAGTGGCGTGCGTACGGGTATTGACTTCGATATTTTTTAAGAAAAAAATGGTACGCCAATAGTTTTTGCTAAATAAAAATTATTTTTGAATTCCCCTTTCAATTTAAAACAAATGATCTCTACTGAATTGTTTTCCTTCGATTCGCCATTTTTGAGTAAAAAAATAAAAAACCGTTCTATTGTCCGAGAAAATTAATGTAATAATTGAAGAATGCAATTTAGCAATAAATATCTAGTTGCTCTGGAATATGTCATTGGATTTTGACATCTGACAGGTCTCTGTTGTTCAAATCTGTTCGCTGTGACATCTTTTTCATTATTTAGTTTTTTACAATCTTGTTAATAATGGTCAATTATTCAAATGCAGAAATGGCGGAAATTCATTACGTATATGGCCTTGCCGACGGTAATGGTGAGCAAGCCAGACGGATTTATCACCAAAGATATCCAGATCGTGCTTTGCCAGAACCTTTTCTAATATTCATCGTCGTCTTGTTGAAACTGGTTCTGTCCTAAAAGGAACATCTGAAGGTAGACCTGTGTGAGAACACCTGAAATTGAGGAAGCAGTGCTGCACAAAGTCGAAGAACATCCTGAAACGAGTACAAGGAAGATCGCTAGACACTTAAATATTTGCCATCAAATTGTTTGGAGAATTTTAGTGGATTTTTTTTGTTATATCCTTACCGTATTTTAAGAGTACAGTCATTACTTCCCATTGATTTTCCAAGGCGTGTGACCTTTTTGTCAGTGATATCTTCAAAAAATTACACAAAATCCGCAATTTAAATCAATGATTCTGTTCACGGACGAAGCTAATTTTTCTCGAAATGCCATTCAGAATTTCCACAATAATCATTTGTGGGCAGATGAAAATCCCTATGCCGTAACCGAAACCCATTTCCAACACCAATTTTCGGTTAACGTATGGGCAGGAATTATTGACCACCACTTTATTGGCCCATTCTTCTTGCCGGGACGACGTGACGGACAGACTTACCTCAATTTTCTTCAACAACAGTTGCCTTTGCTGCTTGACGATGTTCCGTTAGTTATAAGAAACAATATGTGGTACATGCATGATGGTGCACCAGCGCATGTCAGTGTAACGGTTCGTAATTAATTACAAACTGTTTATCGAAATCATTGGATTAGCCGCGGTGGGCCCCAAGAATGGCCACCAAGGTCCCCAGACCTCAACAGTTTAGATTTCTTTTTGTGGGGCTATCTTAAGACACTAGTGTACACAAGTCCCATTAACACTGTAGAGGAATTAAGAGAAAGAATAGTTGTAGCTTGTGATATAAAAAACACTCCAGAGATATTTCAACGACTGCGAAATTCCATGAGATGTGTATGTTGTCAGTTGTTGTTGTTGTTCATTACCCCTGGTGTGTTTAATTTTACCAATTAAATTAATAATAATTTTGCAAGTGGCAAATGGCGCATCGAAGGAAAACAGTTGAAGAGAGGTTATTTCTTTTAAATTGAACGTGGAATTAAAAAATAATTTTTATTTGACAAAAGACCATTGGCGTACCATTTTTTTCTTGAAAAATATCGGAGTCAATACCCGTACGCACGCCACTGTTAAAGCTAAAAGTTATTTTTGCATTCAAAAATATGCAACTTTATTAAGCTTTACTACGTACTAAATATCAGTGAAATATCTGAAGCGGTTCTGAAAATATTAGTTAATTTCCATTTTTTCCATAAAACTTCAACCCGAGTTTTTGTAAGGAAACATTTTCTACCATAGTTTATAAAGCTAACTAACATTAATTTTTCATGTAGATTCACACCCTTAAATATTCGCATATCATTAAGGAACACCCTGTATATGGATACTGAGCTTTTATTTGGAAGAGTACAACCATGATCTTGCAATGATTTTCAAACGGTTTGCAACAGTCGATCAAACGAATTGTGAGAAAAAATGTCACTCAGCTCTAATCGTCAAAATAACTTGGTTAACTACTTCCAACTGTCCACAACCGTCAAAAATGTGTTGCGAGAACATGCCTAATGTACCTATATACGAAAGCAGTACCATGGTACCAGTCCGACCCTGCACATCCTACCTGTTCACTGGTCAGGTAAACTAAGCTCTTCGTCTCTCTATGTTTCAGCAGCATGGGTATGCCGCCAGTCAGTCGTTCGCATGTCGTTGCGCGGTACGTCCTTCGAGACGACGTCGCTGAAGAGGCCGCGAGCAATACCTCCATCATGGCGGTGCCGAGAAGTGCGAGTACGGAGATGTGACCCGCCCCCGGGGGCGGTTGTGCGAGATGAGGTGGTACTACTACATTGCAACGGTGCTGCTGACGATGACACTGGGGGCGGCCGGTGGAGGAGGCGGCAAAGGACATCGCAGGCAGTACTCGGCCGTCGGCAGTACCTCCGCCATGGTGCATCAGCTGCATAGGGCTCGCCTGATGAGTGCTCAGCAACAAGAGAAGGAGAATGAATTTTTGAATAAGGGGAAGAGTAAGTGCCCTGGTCGTGTGATATTGTAGTATTGTGTACTTAGTGGATCAGAAATGATTATATACAATATAACTCATATGTTATATAATATACGAGGTGAGAAATTGTTATCTAAGCACTCTACAGTTTATGAAAGAAGTACCTGAATCAAGTAAAGCTCTCGTTACTGATAATATGAAACAAGCATTACGTTTCTCAAAAATTCGAAATATCCATTTACGCGGTTAACTTATTAAGTAGGTATCATAGATTTTCCGGAACTATCTACTCCAACATATTTTGAACTTTTTCGATGTGAAAATGTTCTACGAAGTTGGACAACCTGTTTCTTCAGTTATTACTACCATTGTTGCTTTGGCCATTTACACTGAGAAACATTGTATGTTGGTTAATGCATACTAATCAAAACCCTTCACTGGCTTACCATTTATGTGGAATTGATAAATATTGATTTATTCCAGTTACTTCGGCGATATCTAGCCGTCTTCTCTTTTCAAGTTACATTTCCTTACACTTTATGTTTCATATTCTTGTTAATTTCTTCTCTTTCTTCTTGACTAGGTCTGGTTTATAGATAGTCATTTTAAAATGCAAAAACAAAGTTCTCAAGGATCGCCTTGCTGGGAAATAACAAATCGATGTTTAGTAGAAGCTGATATCGTTTCTGATTGACTTCAAATAAGCCAAAAGGATTAGGTACAGAATCACTCTTACCTACATTCAGTCTTTGTTGCACTTTCTGGATAATTTATTATATGAATTAAGAGCTATTTTGTGGTTTATGCACTCCTTTTATGTACAGAAGTCAACATGTCGTGGCCATTAGTTTGACATTCTCACTAAAGGATCAGATATATGCAATTTAAGAATTTCAAATTACATAGGCTTTTCGTGACTCCAACCGGAAATCTTACACGTCTTACTTAGGAATGCATGACCTTCTTAGCTTGATGATCAACAGTGATGAGGAATAACAGCGTAACACATATAATGGCTGCGCAAGACAGTAATTTAAGAAATAGTGCCGAGATTGTATACAAGGTGGATAGTAAAATGGTTTGACAAGAGTAAGTGAAGAACGTTTACTCCATATAGTGACCCGTACGTTATTGCACACATACTTTCGAAACATCTTAAAGAGTAATACGAATTAAGTACAAATCGTCACAACGTAGTACTTACTGCAAAGAAAAATATTTTAATACTTTTGGTATGAAAACGCTAGACTAACAATAAGTATCTAACATAGTGCACGTGTATCTTGGGTACCCTCACACTTATTTGACAACATAGTTGCAAAAATATATAATTACAATTGCGAAAGGTTGCTCTGCTTGTTAAAAATATAAAATTACATGCTAGCGATTGTATTACTATCGCACGTGAAGGTAATTGCATTTTGGTTGATATCGCCTTTTAACTACTGCGTAGCTTGTTTCAACGTGTGTTGTTATTAGCTGAATAGTACCAAAAGTATTGGTGTATGGAGCCTCGGTAGCTCGGTGGTCAACCCGTCGAGCTATCAACCCGGGGCTCGCGGGTTCGAATCACCGACTAGGAAGTTAATCCCTTATCCCCATGGATGTTGTGTTGACTACATCATGCACGGGGTGCAGTATTAACAGGTAAATCTCATTGCTGGGGCTGGTTTATGATATGTTGCCAGCAGAGGGCTCATGCAGTAGTAAAGATGGCTTAGTTGCCAGCTTCGCCTCTTCAGCATTACTACTATATTGGTGTAATAATATCAAAATGCACCCTTTCTTAGTAGACGTACATGAAACATGATATACTACACTACTACTACACTTCTGATACCGCTATATTGTTCATGTCATGTTACTCGTACATCCCTATCCCTGTTGTATCAGACAAGTTTGGGAAATATAACTAGACATTCTTGCCTTGGAAAGCGAGGAAAACTTTGTATGTGCAAACTAGTATTTTACGTGATATATAGGTATAACAATCAAGCATATACAAAGTTCCAGCCATTCTTGTACCTTCTAGCTGTTCAAAGAGATCATCTTTGCATTATCAGTTGACGAGTTTTGAAATTACTCTATCGGTATGATCACTTGCGTTGAAAGAAGTGTATGCCTACCTGTAAGTAATAGTTTGCTCGAATGTTTGTTTTGCTACATACCTATGTATGATCAATATAATATTTTCTGTGTTCTTGAATACATTATCTCTGATCCTGGTGAATATACCAAACATGGCGACACAAAAGGAAGTGATGAAATCGGAATTCATATGTTCCATATATCCATTTCATATCCCTGATTCTGTTTCAATAGATGAGTATTTAACGAATGCAGTGTTTAGTTTACCGGTCATCTTCTAAGTTGATTTCAAGTGTTGGGCAACGTTATGCCTAAGCCTAAAACAGAAAAATGAAGGAACGCCACAAAAACTATCCTAGAAGATAAAATTCTTATTTGTTTGCGATAAACATTAATATTGTACACAAAACGATAAAGCTTCAAAGCTGACAAAATATCCTGATGGAATGCCTTTCATGTTTCATGTACCTACGCCTTATCTGTATTATGGAAACATGCACATTGATATAAAGGACATATCAAAAGCTGCCATATATCTATAAGGCCTTATTCTGAAAATAAAAATCTTACGATAACTATAATGCATAGGACACATATTATTGAAGGACTGAGTACTAACTGCTTATAAGGAGGTGATACACTTGACTACAATAAAATCTAAAGATAACAGAATATGTTTGAGATAAGGACGCTCTGTATTTTGATAGAGGTTAGTAAAAAATGAGCTTATAGTTATAGATTACCAGTTTCTTTCAGCTGTAAAAGCGTATCGGTTATATTTTATTGTTGGGCGACTCACTTGTAATCCATTACATCCTCTCATCTCAAATGTCAAATTACAGTTCTCGGTAGGAAGCACAAAAAGCATAATTATTGATTTGCGTTCGATTTCTTGAAGTGTTGAAATCGTTAACCCACGAGTTCGTCTTCGGAAGACAATTAGTCGTAGCTCATATTATTATTATAGTATTTTTACCAGAGTACTGACAAAATAGATTAGCAAAAATAGTAATTTGTGTAACGGGAGTAAAAAAAGAATGCTGTGAGCATGCTATTTTTGTCAAGTTCTCTTTACCAGTCACATAATAACAAGAACTGCGCCAGGACCGTAATGTTTTTTTTGTCAGATCTCTTTAGTCTGCTTTTTATGCAATATGTACAACTAATAATTCAAACAAAATAAAACATGTACAACCTGTGATGCAACTACGATAGCACAATTAAGTTGGGTTGTGTCTGTCAACAAACTAACGCATAATGTGCAATAGTTGTGATTACATACTAAGGGCCAAATTCACCAACAACAGTCCGTTATTCTCCACCTATAGGGTAACAGACCGTCAGATACAGCGAATGAGCTTCAAGTTCCAATCAACAAATTTTAGCAACCAATACCTATGAAATGTTGAAAACAAAATACTGTTAAAGTATGAGATGACAACTTGTCATTGAAACATCACCAGCTTATTGAATATTAAGAAATTACATATAATTCAGTCAAAATTTTAAGAAATGTTTGATTTTTGAATTAAATTCATGTTTTAATTACTATTGTTGATTTTTTATTCATGCTTATATTATTTTCTTCAATTGATATGTGATACTGGGTGTTTTTTCCTATAAACCTCTTGCGGATAGCCATTAATCACCTACTTGATGACAGGCTCTACCAACAGATATTGCTCGTTTCCAAACATTCATTCATTTACTTGCCGTTCATCAGAACCATTATGGCACCTTAGATTGATATTCCCACAAAACCATTCAGGTTTTTTGATATCCATACATCCATAAAGTTGAATATTTTTCGTTGTTCAGGAACTGAACAAACATCCACACTACATTCACAGCGATTAAGAAATTCCCAAATATATGCCTTAAAGCTACCTGCAAAAAAACTACAAATTTGCCATATTTTTCTTTTTTCACGAGTACACATTCTAGGTTATATTTATATTAGACATTATTTGAATACAGCTGATTATTGCATTTCAAGGAGTGACACATGCGTGGAATCTGTCAACTCTTTGTACCAGTCACAAAACACATACGGTTTAATTCCATTCTATTCAATGACAACACGGTGACTTTTGTGGTTATCAGCGGCCATTTTGTGAGGGTGCGACAATATTCCGTTTCACCCTCCTGGTCCCAGTGGAGTAAGTTCCGCCAACTGTTGAAATATACTCTATTATGCTTTATAAGACTGTTCGTGACATTTCCCCAAAATCATTGCACAACACTTGAAAAAATGCAATGATGCGATGATGCTGCAATAAAGCTCCGTCGGTACCTTGGGTTATACATCTTGACAGTAGAGATGTTCGATACGATCCTATATTTAGAAGTATCAGTACATTTCACGAGAATCGTCATCTTTCGATCCGGACTGTGTCAGAAAGAGTGACTGCCATTTGGCTGCGACATTACCCTCCCAATTCAGACATATCTTTCATCATTTTCAAAGAGATTGTACAAAATCTTCAAATTTGTGAAGTGAGCGAGTTTCACTTCATACGTTGTTACCAGACATGCCCAAATCATCAGTTGCTGCCGTGATATTCATCCTGACCACTGCATCCCCTCGGCTAGGCGACCTGTATGTTAAATTTGTATTGATAGGGCAGCGGGTTATGCTATAAATCATATGTCACAGTGTTTGTGCACTGATTGCAACGGTTAGATGATACCAAAAATATTTTCATAAATAGGAGATCTTTCCCATTCCGGATCGAACAATCTACCAAAGATCCTTATAATCATGATACCTAGTAAATTTTCACGAAAAAAATTCAAAACCAGCAAATGTAAAAGATTCATTTCGCACCCTCCACGACGGGACGTGATCGTCGTTAGACTTGGCAACCCTGCGAGTGTCAGATAGATATCCCCACCAGTCAAAAAAGAAAAATGGACAAACAATAAACATTACTAGTTTTTTAGATTTTTGGACTTAACAGCCA